GAGTTGCAATCATTTTGAAAGTATAGGCCATTTTCTGTCTAACCTCTCATAGTTGAAAAAGAGGCATGCACCACTAATATTATCCCCAATTTTTATTACATTTTCTGAAACATATTAATGTCCTTATGCTGTGTAAAAATTGAGCTGGTTCTGAATAATATTTTTCAAGTTATGACTATTTTATGAATTGAGCCAGTTTTTAAAAAATACAAAAAATGGCTTTGGAATCATCCCCCATTTTATTATGTTTTCTGATGCATACATGTATTTAATTATTGATGTCCTCATGCTGTGTAGAAAGTTTGGCCTAATTCAGCCAAATATTTTTTGGGTTGTGGCAATTTTAAGAAATCGATCAATTTTTGAAAAAAGGTTTTTGTGAAAAATGGCTCCAAAATCACCCCAAATTTTTATTACACTATTTGATTCATATTGATGTCCTTATGTTGTGTAGAAAATTTGAGCTGATTCCGACAAATACTTTTCAAGCTATGGCCATTTTAAGAATTTGGCCAATTTTTGAAAAATACATAAGGCTATAGCCCATGGTTTTTTCCAAAAAATGGCTCCAAAATCATCCCAAATTTGTATTAAATTTTTTGATGCATATTAATGTCCTTATATTGTGTAAAAAGTTTGAGCTGATTCTGACAAATATTTTTTGAGTTATGGCCATTTTAAGAATTTGGCCAATTTTTAAAAAATACATAAGGCTATAGCCCATAGTTTTCTTCCAAAAAATGGCTCCAATATCACTCCAAATTTTTATTAAATTTTTTGATGCATATTAATGTCCTTATGCTGTGTAAAAAGTTTGAGCGTATCGTTTTGAAAATATAGGCCATTCTCTGTCTAACCTCTCATAGTTGAACAAGAGGCATGCACCACCAATAAAAATGTTTTAAATAAACCAATCTATGCAGCACTTATGTTAGGGACATCCCAGCAGCTCAAGCTCCTATACACAGTGTAAGACCATCAATTATGTATTATTTCTCAATGACCATCCAAACAGAGACCTGTATAGTCTTCCATTAGTGGCATTGTTACCATCAACTAGTGATACATTTCCTGCTGTACATGCTGCAATACACTTGACACTATTATGTATTTATCAGTCATACAAATGAAACTTAATAAAAAATGAAATGAGAGAAAAAGAATGTAATTTAATGTACATGTATAAGCAAACATGAGACTGGACTTAGAACTCAACTTTCTAAATAGCAATATATAGAAATGCATTAATTAGACTAAAATAGCTAATAGTTAAACACTTAAAACAAATCAACAACTGATTCACGGCTAGTACTGAGTTTGACATCAGTAGAACTTGGCATAATTTCTCCCCTTTGTTGATCAACAGTTTTAATAACTGATTCCATTACATCTAAAAGAGGATCATCATCTTCATCTTGTTTCTTGAATAACTTCTTAATTAGAGCATCATAACATTTCATATGTGATAACTGCAGGTAAAGATGATAAACAACAATCAAAATAAAACTAAAAATAAAAACAG